ACTCCCTTTAGTATTTCTTGTAATTTTGGTTTGGTTTTTGCAAATTCCCTAAACTTCTGTTTATCTGGAAATGCCCTAATTTCATCATCATATTTCAGAGACAGTTTTGCTGGATATATAATTCTTGGCTGGCAATTTTTTTTCTTCAAGGCTTTATATATGTTATCCCATTGCCTTCCTGCCTGCACGGTTTCTGCTGAGTAGTCCGAGCTTATTCTTACTGACTCTCCTTTGTAGATGACTTTTTGTTTATCCCTAGCTGATCTTAAAATTCTCTCTTTGTCTTTGGTTTTGGCAAGTGTGATTATAGTATTTCTTGGTGACTTTCTCTTGGGATCTGCCTTATGTGGGGTTCGATGAGCATCTTGGATAGATACCTTGTCATCTTTCACGACATCAGGGAAGTTTTCTGCCAACAAATCTTCAACAATTCTCTGTGTATTTTCTGTTATCCCCCCTGTTCTGGTACTCCGGTCACTTGTAGGTTATTCCTCTTGATAGAATCCCACATAATTCTTAGGGTTTCTTCATTTTTTTAATCCTTTTATCTGATTTTTCCTCAAGTAAGTTGGTGTCAAGTGCTTTTTCTTCAATCAGCCTAATTCTGACTTCCATTGCCTCAGTTCTGCTCCTATGACTTTCTGTTGAGTTGTCTGATTCTGACATTTTATTGTTAATCTTCTGGATTTCTGATTGCTGTCTCTCTATGGATTCTTGCAGCCTGTTAAATTTGTCATTATGCTTTTCTCTAATCTTTTTAATTTCCTTTATTGTGTGTTCTGCGTTTTGATTAATTTCCTTCCTAATCTCTTGAAGAGTTCTGTATAGCAGTCTTTTGTATTCTACCTCTGGTAATTCCAAGAAATTTTCCTCCTTTGGAAAATTTCTAGATTCTTTATTTTGGGGGCGTGCTGAAGCTATCATGGACTGCCTCTTTATGTGATTTGATATTGACTGTTGTCTCCGAGCCATCGGTAAGTTGTTACATTTATTTATTTATGTTGGCTTACTGTGTCCTAGCTTCTTGTTTTGTTTTGATACGCCCAAATAGGCTGCTCGTGTGAGCTAGTTTGATTATTGGCACCTTTGAAGCTCTAATGTCCTGTCACCTGGTGGTTAGATCTGTTACTAGGTATGTGAGCTCGGGAGTCCACCCACTCCTCCTGTATGGATTCAGCTCAGGTGCCCAGGTACATAGCCACCAAGTGTGTGGTGTAGGCTCTCACTTACCATCCTAGACAGGCATGGGTGATGGGTATATGCACAGGCATCTGGCTACAACAGGGGGCACACTCTGAGCAAGGCAGGGGGCTGACGGCTGCCCCCAAGTATCCAGGAGGAAGGCGTGTCCCTGTTCCCTAGAGCACGTAGATGGGTGCGTTTTGCAGCCGGACTATGAGCAGCCAGTGTTGTTGGCTGTAAGGACTGGGGGACACCTCTTATTCTTGGCCCCTATCACAGGTAGCTGGGTGGCATGGGTGGAGCCACCAGTCCTCAGGCCCATCATGTGGGTAGGTGAAGACCCTGCTTAATGGCAGAGCAGAGTCAAATGTCACGGACCTGCCACTTCACAGCTGAAACAGTTGAAGTTAGACTTCAGGTATATAACCTGTTATATACTGCGGTAATGAGGGCCTACTCTGTTGAAATGGGCCAATACAAGTCTATGCAGTGGGAAAAGCACTCAAAGTCCATGGATCCCTTATGCCTGAGTCTAGGCAAAGGAGCTGTGCCTATCCTAAGTTCCTGGGTCAGGGGAGCTGGCAGTTTATTTTTTCCTATGTTTGTTAATTTGTTCATTCTCCAAGGCTGGGAGAATGGCTTAGGACGTGTGACAGATCCTACTTCCGGCTCAGGGGACTTGGCAGTTGCTGAAGCCAGTCCGGGACCCAGTGCAGAGCAGGGAGGTAAATGGGAGAGAGGTTTTTCCCTGAGGTGGGTGTTTTTGATCCGTGCAGTAGGCTGGATGCAAATACTTACCTTTCGGCGATTGAGGGCTGCTTCTCACTGGTTCTGCGTGGCCGAGTAGACTCTCAGCAGCTGGGTCTCTCCTGTTGCAGAAAATGCGCCTCCCAAGCACGGCTACTTGCCTGCCTCACTGCTCACCTCCGAGCCAATCAGGCCTGAAGGGCTTAGGCTCTTGCCGGGTGAGATCTGGCAACTCCTCGCTGCTTCTGAACCGTCTCTCCCTCCCCCTGCCCCTCAGTCTGGTTCGTCAACTTTGCCTTTAGTGTTCAGGGCCCTTAGATTGTCATATATAATCGAATCACTTGTTTTTCCAGGTCTTTGTTGTGAGAGGTTCCACTGGAAGCATCTGACTACTCTGCCATCTTGGCCCTGCCCCCTCAAAATTTATTATACATAAGAATCACCTGGGGATCTTGTTAAAATGTAGATTTGGATTCAGTATATCTGGGAGTGGAAATGCAAATTTTCAGCAGGTGTTCAAACCAGAATGAATCTGAACAAAGCCCTGAGGGAAAGGAATTTAGTAAGGAAAAGGTTGGCAGTTCAAATCCACCGGACGCCCCTTAGAAACCCTATGGGGCAGTTAGTTCTACTCTGTCCTGTAGGGTTGCTTTGAGTCGGAATAGACTTGTTGACAATGGTTTGGTTCTTGGTAAGGAAAGAAGTGGTGGCACAGTGGTTAAGGTATTTGTCTGCTAACCAAGAGGTTGTGTCATTCCTCAGGGGAAAGATGTGGCAGTCTGCTTCCATAAAGATTTAGAGCCTTGGAAATCTTACGAGGCAGTTCTCCTCTGTCCTGTAGGGTCGCTATGGGTTGGAATTGGCTTTATGGCAGTGGGTAAGGAAGGCAGTAAGACATTTAGGGAAACGAGGTATTAAAGCTTTGACAGTCCTCATCTGGGCAGATTGAAGTTTGGGTGCCGATGCTGAGGGAGATGATTCCTGTAAATTAGTTTCTTGGAAATGCAAGAAACTGAGGGAACGTGTAACTCAATGATGGTGGCGTATAAAGCCTCACAACGTGAATGTCTTGCAGACTTTAACCCATGAGATTGGACACATCTTTGGAATGCGACACTGCCAGTGGCTCTCATGCCTGATGCAAGGCTCCAACCACCTGGAAGAAGCTGACCGGCGCCCTCCAAACCTTTGTCCCATCTGTTTACGCAAGTTGCAGTGCGCCATTGGCTTCAACATAGTAGAAAGATACAAAGTAAATGGAGGGAGTGGACAGAGAGGAGGGAAGTGGTTGTCTAAGGAGCAAGCTGCCATTTTCTGTTAGGCCCTTCTCTAGAGCTGTCATTTATCAGAAGAAATTAGTGCAAAGATAAGCAGGAAACTGTGGTTAAAAACAAAACAAAACAAAACAAAAAAAACACACATGCAAAGACATGCCGTTTTTACAAACTTGAACTAGTACTTAACTCATATAGTTCAGTGAGAAATGCTGGAAGAAATTTCTGTATTTCCCGTCTGTTTAGGGCAAGAGAGCTTTACTCTGAGGAACAGAATAAATACTGATATGTGTGGCAAAGTTCTTTTTTTTTTTAAACTATATGAATGTGTGGAGGTGATTTATTTTTCCAAATACGATACAGAAAGCATGATGTTTAATAGGACGAAAGGATGATTTTCTTGAAGAAGGAAGAAGGACAGTACCTTACCTCAGTATGTGTGTGCCCCTGCCTGCCCACACATCAATCAATCAGACATCCATACGACTGCATGACTGCACGTGCACATGGCCACCACACGTCTTCACATCCATGTGTCTGCCTGTAAAGTGTGTGTGCGCTTCGTGTGGATACACATTCATTCCAGATTACAAGTGCAGTGTATCTGCCTTGTGGAATGTTTAGCTAGTTAAGAAAATAATATCATCTCGCCACCTTAAAAACCAGTGTGAGAACTAGTGTATGTCTTTCTCATCTTCTCCTGTGCGTACTTTCGACCACAATTTGTAATCACGGTTTGTGTATTTTTTTAATACGCTTTTTCACTCTCTGTATCATTGTGTTATTTCATATTCATAACCACCTCCATGAAATACAACATCTTCATAGAGGAATACAATTTACTGACCTAGATACGCTAATCTGGAAGCCCGTATTTTTCTCTTGCCTAAAACCGGTTTGCTGTGGTCTGTTAAAATACGTCTGTGTTCTGTTTTTCCAGGCGTTGTTGAGGTGGATCGATGATGAATCTTCTGACATACCTGGAATAACGTCGAAACATAGTCGCGAGGGGAATGTGCATTTGCCAAAACGTGCGGAAGCCTTTAAGGAGTGGAAAGAGTGGATAATTAAATGCCTTGCTGTTCTCCAAAAATAAGGACCTTCAAATAGGAGTAATTAAAATAAAATACTTGCATATTATGCTTTCATTTTGGTGGAGTACCTCATTGGAATAAACTAAGTGCCTACTGATAGTGCACTGTCAAAGTAACAGAATAGAGCCCTCTGTAAAGCACCTGAACTTTGAAATGGGGGCTTATTTTGAATAATTAAAACTATATATGCTTTATCCTCTCTGTGGTAGTAGGCTGGTCTGTGACAGCCAGTACTTCATTTCCTTTCTTCAGGCATGTTTATGTCTCACAAGAGAATTGGACTAACAATAACTAATAAGGAAATATTTACCTTAAAAAAGCTATAAATGTCCTCCAAAAGGTCAGCAGTTTGAATCCACCAGCCACTCCTTGGAAACCCTATGGGTCGGTTCTACTCTGTCCTATAGGGTCGCTATGAATCAGAATCGCCTTGATGGCAATGGGATATATGTCCCAGGGCAAGATTTCCAGCCAACATAATTCCCAGGGGGTGGTTTTAAGTTCAGTTTTGAGAAGAGCTGCTCCCCCTCTGTTAGGTCCAGCCAGGTCACGTGGTGAACTGTCTTGGACTCTGACCTTCTCCATTCACATCGTGTCTTCTCTGCTGTGAACATTCCCTACTCCCTGGGGTGCCTTACCTCCTCTTTTTCATTGCCAGCTGTCAGCTTATCCCTGAAAGAAGCAACAGCTAATTTCAGGTTTTAACAGCTTAAAACGTGACAGCCTTTCAGGAATATTTATATTTGAAAATAACAGTGGTACTCATACCACAGCAACCTTTGGGGCGGGGTGGGTGGGGGTGGGTGCATTTGGCGATTCTCAGTTATAACAGAAATACATAGTCATTTGGGAGGGGTCTTGCCAATAATTTGTTATAATGGTACTTAATGTTTGTGAGAGTTTTGCTTTTAGGACAGGTTTTAGGTTTATTCCTATAATAATTTCTTTTTCACTTTTTTGCATTGTGAAGTTATTTGAATGGGGGGAGAGTGTGATGGAGTTACCTGTTGGAGGCCAAGAATCCCACTTAGCGAACATCATCCCAACTGCCATGAGGTTGAAAACCTCAGGCTTGGCAACTTCGTCTGCTAGGTCAGTGTATCCTGGCATACATAGTACACTAGAAATCTAGAAATCAAGATTTCACATTTTACTGAATTTTACTCAGTGCTGGTGAGCAGACTGCATTCCCCACTAACCCATCTTACCTTGACATAATTATTTTCTTAGTATTAAAAAAAGGTAATTTTTTTTTTTTTGGTACTTTAAATTCTTTCATTTGTTTCATTGTTATCATGCTGTGTGATTTGAAGCACAGTTTATAACTGAATCACTCATCTCCCTTAGATTCACTTTCCTGCTTGATTAAACCTCTTTAAGTCATCTTAGGAGATGGTGGTTTGCCATTAAAATTAATTGGAGAGAGAATACTTGGTTGTTCTAATACTGAAAAGAGAACCTGATGGAGCATGGAATTCTATGGATTCTGTTACGGGTTTTAATTCATCTTTGAATAACGTACTTCTAATTATTGTCAAGTCTATCCACTTTTATTTTCCTACAAGATAAGCACAGTTTCAGTCCTGTAGGTCAGTGTCACACGCAGATTTGGCTAGGTATAGAAGTTGGAGGTTCAGGTGTTTGGATAAGATAGTCCATTTGTGCCTACTCTGAACCAGGAGACTAGGAAGAACAAACTGACATTAAACAACTCATTTATTCTTGTTAAAAGTTGGACTAAATGTGACATGAGGACAGTGGGGCTTAGTGGTAGAATTCTCACCATCCAGGCGGGAGACCCAAGTTTGATTCCCAGCCAGTGCACCTCCTGTGTAGCCATCACCCGTCTGTCAGTGGAGGTTTGCATGTTGCTCTGATGCTAAATAGGTTTCAGTGGAGCTTCTAGACTAAGGAAGAAAGGCCTGGCGATCTACTTGCGAAAATCAGTCAATGGAAACTGTGCATCACAATGGTCTGATACCCAGCTGATCATGGGGATGGTGCAGGACCAGGGTCCCGATGACTTAGGTGCTAACTGAATGGTAGCTAACAACAAACATGACTCAAGTTTTATGTGATAGGCGTTTATTCAGCAATTATCACTTAAGTTGAACTGTTTATAATCATTGTATTTACTTTTGGACAGTTTCTTAGGGTTTAAGTTGGATAAAAATATAATTTGTCTACTGCAACCAAATTTTATGTACTATAGTTAAAACTTGGTAGTTAAAAAAAATAATTTCCACTCAATAACAAGCAAACAAAAATCAAAGCAGATTTTGCCCTGCAATGCTGAGTGAAGAAAGTTTTTTAAATAATAAAGAGCATAATTTTTATTTTTTCCCATACAAAAATTTATACATACATTGTTATGTGACTAATTGCTCTCCCCATACTGTGACAGCACACTCCTTTCAACCCTGGTTCCCCATGTCCATTCAGCCAGCTCCTAACCCTCTCTACCTTCCCATCTCACCTTCTGACAGAAGCTGCCCGTTTAGTCTCTTGTATCTAGTTGAGCTAAGAGGCACACTCCTCACAGTATGACTTTATGTCCCACAGTCCAGTCCAATCTCTGTCTGAACAGTTGGCCTGGAAATTGTTTTAGTTCTGGGCTGATAGAGAATCCAGGGGCCATGCTTTCTGGTGTTCCTCCAGTCTCAGACCATTAAGTCTGGTCTTCTTACTAGAATTTGAGTTCTGTACCCCACCTTTTTCCTGCTCCATCAGGGACTCTCTGTTGTGTTCCCTGTCAGGGCAGTCATTGGTGGTAGCTGGGCACCATCTAGTTCTTCTTGTCTCGGGCTGATGAAGTCTCTGATTTATGTGGACCTTTCTGTAAGAGAATAATTTTTAAAACACTTTTAGAAATAAATGAATGTGAAATGCTACTCGTACATGTCATAGTTGCTGTTCCCTGGTGCCCATGGAATCAGAAGTATCCTTCCAGTCAAAGAATTAAGCGTTAGCATTTCCGTTCACAAAGGCTTTTAATGGTGAGAGACTTTTGTAAAGGATTATCCATCAGTTTTTAGAGTCCTGGTTGGTGCAGTGGTTAAGAAGTCACCTGCTTACTAAAAGGTCGGCAGTTGGAATACACCAGCTGCTCCTTGGAAACCCTATGGGGCCGTACTACTCTGTCCTATAGGGTCACTGTGAGTTGGAATCGACTGGACAGCAACGGGTTTGGTTTTGGTTGGTGCAAATGGCTAAACCTTCACTACTGGTGAAAGGTTGGTGATTCAAACCCACCCAGAGGCACCTGGAAGACTGGCCTGGAGATCTGCTTTTGATAGGTCACAGCTTTGGAAACCCTATGGAGCACAGTTCTACTCTGCACACCTGTGGTTGCCAAGAGTGGGGACCGACTCCGTGGCAACTAACAACACTCACTGGATCTTATCCAGCGTGCTTTTTGAAGCACACGTTTCCCCCTCGGAGCCCAAGCGCTAAATCGGAGCAGGCAGCGGGAACGCTGTAGCGGCCCTGCCACCTTCCCGACTGGAAACGGTGTGGTCCGGGCTCGGTCAGGTCCGCGGGCGCCGGGGACGCGCAGCCGGACGCTGCCGCGCGTCGCTGCTTCCGGCTGCCCCGGGCTTCCCCTGCGGTCCAGGCAGTGTAGTGCCGACGGCCGGGCCCCTGGGGCGTCAGAGACCCGCGCCAGGGACCCACGGGGACCGCCTCCACCGCTCTCAGGTGTGCGGCGCTCTCAGGAAGCACAGCACGGCCCTCTCTCGGACTCAGGATGGCGACGCCTCGCAGAGCAGTGAGTGACACCGGCTCTGAGCAGAGCGCCTAACTAACAAGGGTTTACTTTAGAATTTAACTTCGGCACTTCCTAGGCCTTGGAACCTAGAGCAGCACGGTCCAATAGGAATATAACACGCGCCACACCGGACATTTTAAGTTTTCTAGTAGTCACAGGGAGCCCTGCTGACGCAGTGGTTAAAGCGGCGGGCTGCTAACCAAAAAGGTCGGTTGTTCAACCCACCAGCCGCTGAGCGGGAGAGCTTCCGTAAAGACTTAGAGCCTTGGAAACTCTGTTGGGTCGCTATGAGTTGGAATCCACTGGAAGGCAGTGGGTTTGGTTTTGGGGTTAGTAGCCACATTAAAAAAACCAAACCATTTGCTGTGGTGTCAGTTCCGACGCATGGCGACCCCATGTGTGTCAGAGCAGAACTGTGCTCCACAGGGTCTACAATGTCTGATTTTTTGGAAACAGTTCGCCAGGCCGTTCTTCTCAGGAGCCTCTGGGTGAGCTCAAACTTCCAACGTTTCAGTTTACACACCCTGGGACGTCAGAAAATGCAAGAAGAAGCAGATGAAGTTAATGATAATATATTTTACTTAACCCAATAATCCATGATGTCATTTTTAATATGTAATTAATATAAAAAATTATTGAGATATTTTGCATTTTTTTTGTACTAAGTTTTCAAATCCCAATGTGTATTTCACACTTACAGCTCATCTCCATTGGAACTGGCTACATTTCAAGCACTCAATAGTCCCACGTGGATCACGAGCACAGTATCGGACAGTGCAGCTCTAGATGAGTACAAATTTCTTGTTTATGTGGAAAGATATACCAGTGAAATTGAGTTAATAGCAGGGAAAAGGCTTATTTAAGGAAAAAGCCACGCAGATCTTCTGTCAGTACAGTGAGGGTTGACATTTAAGCTGAAAGGGTGTGGAGACCGAGGGCCTCTGTCTTCCATATAGATTGCACTTTGGATCTTGCTATTATTCTCTGTGGCTGATTGTTTTTCACCTCTGTCTCATTGTCAAGGGCCTGGTATCCCCTGTAAATGTGCTTTCTGTTTTGGAAGGCAGAATTGTGAAGTGTTAACGATGTGGAGACAGCTTGATTCATTTGAATCTATGTGATTGCCATGGATTGAATTATGTCCCCCGAAAAATTTATGTTATCAATTTGGCTGGGCCATGATTCCCAGTATTGTGTGGTTGTCCTCCATTTTGTGATTGTAATTTTATTTTAAAGAGGATTTGGGTGGGATTGTAACACCCTTACCCAGGTCACATCCCTGATCCAATGTGAAGGGAGTTTCCCTGGAGAGTGGCCTGCACCACCTTTTATCTCTTAAGAGATAAAAAGGAAAGGGAAGCAAGGAGAGAGGGAGGGACCTTATACATACCACCAAGAAAGCAGGCGGGGAGCAGAGCACATCCTTTGGA